TATAGGGCACAATATTCACTGCCATATAACGGTCGCAGAGGTCATACATGGCCTCATTGTCCAACAGTAGAGCAAAGTCAATGTCTTCCATAGAAAAGTGTTCACCCAGGATGCTGTTGTAGGGCTCAACTGCGGCAGTTGACAATGCGGCAGATGGGTAAACGGGTACTTCAATTTTGGGGACTTTACGGTAGTCGTTCATCATATCGAGGATGGAGGCCGCCATCCCAGCCCCGGTGCCACCGCTCAAGCTCCGAAAGAACATCACTCCCTGTGGCATATCGCAATTCTCCATTGTCCTTCGAAGTTCATTCATAACTCGTCCCAGCATCATCTTCCCAGTGGTGAAGTAACCGCGTGCAAAGTTGTTGGCCGCATCCTCGCAGCCAGAAATCATTTTATCCGGATGAAATAACTTACGCCAACGACCAACACGCACCTCATCTACAGTAAAACATGATCCAAAGTAATATTATGCTTAATGTGGAAAGAATTTCTCATTATTAAGAAGAAACTAATGCAGTTCATAGTAAACTCGAAATTTGCCTCCCCTATTAATTGAGTGTATAATGTCTTGTTACTCCACCTGAGACCTGCTGCAATAAATTTTTAATCAAACACAGTTATTGTTGCAAAATATGTAAGCGGAACCTAGTTGAATGGATGACTTCAGCTTTAACATCGAACTAATGATATTTGCATGTGAAAAGATTGAGCGACAAAAATGTTTTTCCAAACCCTCAAGTATTTGTGTTTTCGCCGTGACTGATTATACGGATAAGGCATGCCTTTCGAAAACGGCACTTTCTGGAAGAGCATTCCAATAGTAAATAAAAATATATGCCGTTCAGGCGTGAATAAGACCGACAAATCCTGTTTAAAATCAAAGCTGTGTCAATGGATTCTTCTAAAGTAGTATGTATGGACCTTTCTACAAAAGGATTTGGTTAGTCCGAGACCTAGAAGATTAGGTCTGAAGAGGCCTGCACTTTTTTGTAGTTACATTTTATGATCCAACGTCGTCTTTTCTTCAGCCTATATTTAAACGGCACTTGCGTTACTGAGAAGAAATAGAGGCGACCGCTGGGACAAGACCGCTACTCGCCTGCCATTTCATACTTCATTCCAAACCCATCATCCGAGTCAGTAGCAGAAACGGGGTACTGCACTTAAAATTGTTACAACAGTTTGGGGAGCTTATTTGGTACATGTGACGAATCCGAGAGACAACTTTATCCTTTTTAAATTTCCAGCGTTTTGCAAAATATTATGCTCTGTGTAAAGATCCTAATTTCCTGCAAACGAAGACGTGGAATCCTTTTACTTACTACTCGAACCAATGTTAAACTACCTCTCCAGTGTAAGGTCTGAGTATATTTAATGAGCTATAAATCTTCGTTCATAAAGAAAGTAACACAAAATAGATCTTGATCACCATCCTATATCTTTAGCTCAATCCTTTCCCGATAGTAACCGCAGGGCCTTAGAAATGTGTAAACTGTAATCATCAAGCTGGATGGCAATGTGTATGCACTATTGTAACGTTCTGTCATGGTCCGAAAGGTTTTCATATCCTTTTCAACCTCGAAAGGTGTTATAAGCAGCCTGGTGTTATTCGACCTTGTTTATCATAGGTGTAGCAGTCACAGCTGTCTAGTTACTTCCTAGGATAATTCTACCGTCACAAGTGACGTCGCTAATCGCCAGTCGCAGAAGTGGACGTAGTTGCGAGGACTTACGCTTGTGGTGCGTTTGCCTTATGTTCATGATCATTGAATGGCCTCTGTTTCATTATTGCTAACTTTATACTCTTGATGGTACTCAAGGAACACTACGATGGGCACTTCTTTTAGTGGTTATAGTAAGACCATTCCTTAACAACTTTTCAACCAATAACCGGCTCACATGAAGAAAAAGTTGGTAAACTTGCCAATAACGGTGGCTTCCAAGTCGATGTAGATGGAACGAGGGACGTACTGGCCATTGCTCGTGTAACTAAAAAAGGAGTCGATGTTCTCACATTCTCTTGGTTGTTCGAAGGCCTGACCCTCACAGGTGATGGCGTGCTCCGCGCAGTACAATTCCCAGCAGGCGTTCCCAAGCTGGCAGCCGCACTGGCCAATATGGAGGGAAACAATCTCGCGCTAGGGGGACAAAAATACAGAAAACGCGATCAGCAACCATCCTAAGATCTCCTTTACGAATCAGTCCGATAGCAGATAGTACAACCGGCTTCCTTCCAAGATCGTCCTGTCGGGTTAGAGGACATTGAGTTACATTCATACCTGGTAGTATAGCAATCGCCCAGGGCTATTATGGTGCAACCACACAGGAGTCGACTATCATTCACTTAAATTGGCCTTTTTTCCTAAAAACGAAAATAATCTAGCAAGATTATTGAAATTCACGAACAATTATTTAATTGACCTGTCTTCTCACCGACAATTCGTCTGTCGCAGGGAACGAGAACCATCTATAGGTGTTCAGGCTAAGACGGTTAACCCTACCAGCTACAATCTTCGAGGCCCGGTTCCTTAGGAGATGGGAGAAGTCTTGGGA